CAGATATCAATGTAAAAGAAATCAAATAAACAAGAATCTCAGATGAGAGATACCACCAACCAGGCTGCTAGAAGTCTCAAACTAGAAGAAAAAAATCTTGAAAAGCAGACTTTGAGGTATCAGGAACAGGTTATAGTTCTTCTAGACAATCTGAATTAGAAGTCTGAGATTAGAAGCAAAGATATACTATAAGTACTAGATATATGCTATAAAGTTGATGCTAAGATCTAAGTGAACTTTGCAAGGATGAGTCTGTTAACAAGAGACTAAATATGAGTAGTTAGTTAGCAGAAGGGCCTTCTGAAGCTTTACAGTTAGGTTATATACTCTAAAATATGTAATAGCTTGATAGATGTACAGATAAAGAAGTTAAGATTAGGTTAGATGACACTTTAGTATACAGAAGTTTGTATACTATTTGTCAGTATAAGTATAAGGATCAGAGTGTTTAAATAGGTAATCTTCTAGTAGATTGCAAGTATGGCACCTAGTATAAAACCTGCTATGCAAACAGACTACTTAAAATAGACAACCAAAAGTTATATATATGGCTAGTTGTAAACTTATCTTATACAAGTTATATAACTATAATTAAAATACAATAAAGGCAATAGTCACCAATAACCACAGCCTTAGTAAAAGCAAAAAAAAAAATAAAACCAAAAATATACATATAACTAGTTGTATTCTTTAATGTAAGAAGGTTTTTTAAAATTATCATATTCTAATATTGAATAATAAGTTTTTAATCTCAAAAAGACTAATTAATACAAAAAAATAAAATAAAACTACAATATATAAACTAAATCTTTTTATTATAATTATATGAAATAATATTAATAAGCAAGATGTTTTTATAATATATTTAATTTTTTAAAAAAAACAAATGAAATACTAATATATTAGTTTACAAATATAAGAATTAGAATATGATCTAAAAACTTTATATTTTTTTAGACTATAATAATATATAGCAAATTGTTATAAATTAGGTTTTTTTCAATACAAAAATTTTGGTTTATTAATAGTATATAATAAATATTTAACAAAAAAATAAAATATTAATGCAAAAATTCTGTTTTATTAATATTATATAATAAATATTTAACAAAAAAATAAAATATAATAGTAACTATTTTAAAGCTTAAAATAATAAAACATATAAACAAACAAAAATAAAATAATACAAAAAGCTGCTTTAGATATGCTTAATCCTATAATATAACTTTATAATGTATTATAAGTACAACAACAATTTAATAAGTATTTTTTTTTATAAATTAATTTAAATAAATCAACATATATAAAATAAATATTATAAAATTATAATAAATAGATTGATGCTTATAGATTATATAAATATTAAAAAATGAATATTATAAATTTTGTTAAAGCATAATACAAAAAATTTAAATATATATATTTTGGTACTAAACAAAACTATTGAATTAATATTTTAATTTGAATTTTATAAGTTACATTAACAAATACAGAAATTAAATATAAAACTGTTAATTTGATGATTAGAAAAATAAAATCCTATTAAAAAAAAAAACATTATTAAGACTTATAAAATTAGATTTAAAAAGTTTTGCAATACAATTATAATAAATAAACTAAATATATTTACTAAGCATAAAATACTCTTGCTTATATAAACTATTTGATTAAGTATATACTTATCTATTAGTAATGCAATTAGAAAATTAATATATAAATTATTTTTTAAATTAAATATAATATTGCTTTTAATTATATTTTAATTATCTAAATTTAAGTTATTTTTAATTACTTTAATAGATTTAAATTACAGATAAATATGTTTAAAATTTTATTTTTTAGAAGTATAATAACTTAGTAAAATAAATAAGTTGTCAACTTCCCAAATAGTAGGTTGTAAGTTTAAAATTCATTAATAATAAAAATTTAGATAATTACCTATATAATATATAAATAGTAGTATAGTAATAGCATTCTATCAATCAGTTTGGATAAGATATTTATAACTATAGTTATATTAACATAACTGGCAGATTATGGGACATCTGTACAATATTGGAATTATACAGAGAAATACAAACTGGCAATGAGTAGTGCAAACCCAAGATAAGTTCTTATGACTATATAAATTTGTAGAACTAGAAGCTGGAACCTATTTGAAAAGACCTAAGTAAAGAGATAGCATAAATTTTTGACAGTATTATTGTAAAAACTAGATCTAGAAAACAGATACCAATATAAAAAAAAAATCAAGCAAATAAGAATTTCAAATAAGGAGTACTACCAACTAGGCTACTAGAAGTTTTAAACTAGAGAAAAAAAATCTTAAGCGCAGACTTTGAGATACCAGAAATAGGTCATAGTCCTTTCAGGCTATCTGAATTGAAAGTCTGAGATTAGAAACAAAAGTATATTATAAATACTAAAAATATACTATAAAATTAGTTCTAAGATCTAAGTGAATTCTGCAAGAGCAAATTCTGTTAACAAGAATTAAATATGAGTAGTTAGTTAACAAGAGAACCTTTTGAAACTTTATAATTAGATGACATACTCTAAAATATATAATAGCTTAACAAATATATAGAAAGAAAAGTTATGATTAGGTTAAATGATACTTAGATGTACAGGAACTTGTATGCTATCTATTAGTATAAGTATAGAGATTAGAATGTTTAAATAGATAATCTTCTAGTAAGTTGCAAATATGATAGCTAGTATAGAACCTGCTATGTAAATGAACTATTTAATTAGATAACCAAAAGTTGTATGTGTAACTAGTTATACACTTATCTTGTACAAGTTATGTAATCATAATTAAAATATAATAAAAACAGTAACTACCAATAACCATGATCTTAGTGAAAGCAAAAAAAAAATATATATATATTTTTGAATATAATTTTCTTTTATTTTATACTTAGAACTAGATATATAGTTAGCAGTTTAATAGTTAGCTTTAACTACAAGTATTGACCTTAATTATAGCATTTATATAAAATTACTGTTTGTACATAGTAATTACATGTAGTTACTAATCTCAAAACTATTAATAAAGATATAAGCAAGATCTTGCATTAATACTAAAAAAAAACATTTTTTTTTGTAAAAAATTTTGATTTAATTAGCTTATTTTATTATATTAAATTGAAGGTTAATAATTCAAAATTCTTTACTATATCAAATTTTTACTATATTAAGAGTTTACTATAATGATTAAGAAGTAGGAGTATAATCATTTTACACACAATTTAGGTGACAAATCATGTGACTGCTAAGTATCATAATTGAAACTTTTTTTTTTTTACCAAGTAAAACATTTTTGAATCTTTAATGAAATTTGTAAAACGTGTTATTACGATTCTAATGATAATAAATCATTAAAATCGGTTGTGTAAATCATAAGATATTAAGATTCTTTTCTTATTCTCAGAAATGCTCAATATTCCATCACTATTTGAAAGTTATAGTAAATTGCCGCGCACGTTATATACACACACGTATTATGTAAAATTGGTTACAATGTGTTACTCGATTATTCTTGTATAGAGTACGTAACTAATTTTGCTTAACTTTTATATGAATAATAAAAGATTGTAAAATATAATGATAAGTAAAATTGATTATAACTGATACTTATTAAAAAAATATTTTACGCGTTACTTTTTTATATGAAATTTTAATAATTTCTTACATAAATGAATAAAAGAAAAGTTATAATTTATAATTCAAATTTTTTTTTTTTTTTTTAGTAGAGCAACAACTTCAAATCATAAAATTATATGTAATAAGGTTTTATAAAAGAAATATGTAATAATGTTTTAAAAGAGATTTACACGTATTTATTTACACATACGATACATATAATACATACATGTATATTTGTTTATTTGCTCTTTTAGCGCACATCTTCTTTTGAATAGATGTTAGTTTTTTGGCATATCATACGTGTGGTCCACTAATTAATTAAAAAACATGCCACTTTTTTCATAGTTGACACAGCATGAACGCCCCACAAAAAATTGGTCACCCCCGTAATTTTGACCAATCGAACGGACCCGGTTTTTTACAAAAAATCAAGAATAACTCTAAATGTTTATTATGAAACCATCTTCTGCGGTCTAATTGTAATGTTTCTCATGAAAATTCTACTACGTAATACTGTAATAGCCATTACATTTTTCTAACTACATATAACCCTAACTAATAACGCGGTTTTCTTTGATGGCAGAACGTGTATGTCGTGTGATATATAACATTGTGTTTTATACGAACGTGTTATATATGCACAGTACATACGTCGTACGTATGACGATATTGATATAATCTACGTGTTATATTATTTTTTAACATCTTGCACATCTTGCATTAAAATTTCACAAAAATTATGCTTAAAGATCGTGCATTGTCAATCAAAAAGAAATTATTTAAATATATATAGTATAACAATAAACTAATCATCAGATAATCAAGATCGCAGGAAAACCATTGATAATGCAAGAAAATTAGTTACTCTATTTTACATACAGTTTTATTTAATTTTTTTGTTTTTGGGGTTCATTGTAGAACAGTAGTAGAAAGAAGAAGAAAAAAAAACTATTTTAAAAGAAAAGAAAAAAAGAAAAAAATATTGAACAATCATTTTGTAATTCCCACCCAAGTAAATTGTTTCCTTAGTTTCACAGATAGAAAGAAAATTTTTATCTTGTGGTTCTCTCACCATTTTGTCTAATATAAAATTGAAAAATTCTAAAGTCCATCGAGAGAATCCTAATGAATTGTGTAAAATTTGAAAAGAAAAGAAAAAAAAACTAAACCGAAAAAAATGTTTGTTGATTTTTAAAAGCTTATATAAAAGGTAAATGCAAGAAAATAAAACGAGCATAAAAAAAGAAAAAAAAAAAAGACTATACAAATTTAAAATTTTTATCTAGAATAAAAAAAAGCGCCCGTTAAAAGTTTTACTATAGACGTAAAATAATAGAAAGTCTAAATATTATCTAATCCCAACCACCACCATTGCTGATTTCTTCCGTTGAAGCTTGATCTTCTCGCTGCCGATATTGATCGTAACGTCTACCACCGATTGAGTTCGATTCTTCTACAGGTGTACCATCTGGGGACGGTGTATGTAATACGGTGTTCTATTTAAATTAAAATCATCAGTTTCATCATTATATAACATCCATTATTTCGTCATAATTTCATCATAATATCATTTCCATCGCCATTATTTCTATTATTATTTATGTCATCATTCACACTTATATTTTTTCTACATATATATATACATTTTTCATTTAAATTATCCCTATTTATACTATTTATATTTTCTTCAGTTAAAAAAACCTCCAAAAAATCTTAGTAGGGGGGAAAAGAAAACTTACCTGTTGTGCATTTGTCACCATTTGAAGATTACTATTAGAGTAACCTTGTGGCGTAGATGGAGCAGCACCTGGAGTAGCAGAACCAGCACCTAGACCGGGTAATTGATAACCGGTGGAAATACTTCTTGGTGAAGAAGTAGATGATGATGGAGTCGTTGCTTCAGGGAATTCGTACTTTACTCGTTTACCAGAATGACCCCAACCAGAAAAGGCAGAATTATTAGGAGAAGAATTTGAATTCATTGGACTTGGAAAAGTACCAGCAGTAGCAGCATTAACAGCAGCAGTAACAGCAATACTGCTTAATGGAGGTGGAGGATGCATTGCAAGAGGGGGACTTGATTGATTCGAATTATTAACATTATTATATTCATCATTTTCTTCTTCACCTACGAAACCTCTTTTTTGACCAATAAGTTGCGGTGAACCACTTTGAGCCGGACTTCCTGACACATCGGCCGAGACAATATTATAAAGACCTTGATTGTTAGGTCGCATGTAACCGTTACTACCGGGATTTTCTTCGGACTTTTTTTATATATTTTTTTTTGGTTTTTAATTTTTTTGAAATTTTTTTTTATTTTTTAAAAATTTTTTTTTTTTAACGTTTGGTATAAAAATGTTTTTATGTTAAAAATCGGTAGGAACTTCACATAAAAGGTGTTTGTAGTTTGTTGGAATAATTAGCCGTCGTCGCAGTCTTTAATAGATTGCAACCACTCACCGGCGGTCCAGGAACCACTGCAACACCTTGTTGTCCTTGAGGTTGACCGTTTATTAAACCATAACCAGTTTCATAATCTTCTAAATGAGGTTGTTGATGATTATGATTTCTAGGTTGTTGAGTCGAATATATTGGTACAGCAGGTGGATTAGCAACATGTTGAGGACGTTCAGCATATCCATTGGCTGGTGGATACGGAGATGAACCATGATCTTGGCCTTGCGGTACATTTGGATTTCCCATGATTGGATTACCATTACCATATGGATACCATTGTCGTGATGTATCAGGTGAATATGGTGTGTTGTTGAAATTATTTGCATAGGGATGAGTCGGTCGCCATTGAGATTGTGGACCATTACCTATAGATGGAATCCTAGTTGACATTGATGGACCATATGAATTATGAAGAAAGATGCTAGGATCATCCACAAATAAAGGATAAAGCTATAACAAAATTTAACATTAATTAAAATAAAAATTATAAATGAATTGATTTGTTTTTAAGTGGCATTATGCGTTAAGATTATTAAAGTCGCATGAGAATATGTTTAGAAATTTACCAGTTCGCTGATCTTGAATTGAGCTGCAAGAGTTTTTGCCCGTTGAAAAGTGATCCTAAGATTAATAATTATTATTGATGATTAGAATTATTATAGTTAATAGTAATAATAATAATTATAATAATAATAATAATAATAATAATAATTATTATTATTATTATTATTATTATTATTATTATTATTAATTATTACTGTTATTAAATATTATTATTATTACTACTATTAAATATGATTATTATTATTATAATTATTATTAATTATATTCCAAGTGATCCAAGCTCTGATGATCAACAAGATACGAGATCAAAAAACGGATCAAGTCACAAGATGAGCACAAGATCAAACAAATATCAAAGATGTTATCAAAAAAGATAATTTCAAAGATGAAAAAAAAAAGACCGCCACAAATAAAGTGTAATAAAGAGATATAATTAATAATAATAATTTGAATCTAAAGAAAGAAACTTACCAAACACCTTTTAGATGCATAGCCCCAACTTTTACAACAACTCTTCCTTTTTCATTCTTTAGAATACCATCTCGTTTACCACGTGACATTCCAACAACATTTAACAATTTGGTTCCGTTGATCATGTCGTTATCTGAAAAGGAGGAAAAAAAAAGTCCGAGAGTTTGGAAGGGTGAAAGATAAAATAATATTAAGTAAAGATCAACGTTGCTTGAGGTTAAAGAAATCAGATGATCAAATATTATGTCACGAATTCAATTATCATAATATCATATATCATAAATGAATAATAAAAAAATAAAAAATAAAGCGCGTTTATAAAGTTAAAGAAGAGTTATATATACCTTGTCGTCGAGCTACACAGATACCACGAGCATCAACCTGATAGCATAGGGTTCCTTCATCTTCCCATATAGTAGTGGTAAGTTTTGGGCGAGGGGTATGACCTTGAGCCATTCCTGAACCAGCACTACCGTAACCAACAGCAGGAACGAAAGCACTACCACCATTAGCGGATAAAACAGTAGCACCGTTTGCGGGGTTACCACCACCAAAGTAAGGAGTCCAAAAAGGGTGGGTGGTAGGGTTAGCAAAATGATGTTGAGGATAAATCATAGTACTACCATTGCTGTCCAAATGAGTAGTCATCATTGCTGGAGCTTCTTGAGGTAGAGAGTTCTTAGTAGTAGTAGGGGTAGTTACCGGAGTAGGGTGTTGAGGAGCCTGGTTATAAGGAGTAAAAGCCGAATGGGGACCAGAAGCAGAAGGAGGAGTTTGAGTAGCGGTCGAGGTTAAAGAACGTGGACCAGCAGTAGAGTTCTGGGTGCTGGAGGTATTATTCGAAGGTTGCGTGTTTGTCGACGTGGTGGAGGGTATGCTGATATTTCGAGGAGAGTTTGGCTTGTTGTTTGGAGACGTCGTGGTGTTAGAGAGCGAAGGAGCCGGAGAAGTCGGCGTAGTTGGGTGTTGTTGTGGTGAGTAGTGAGTGCTGGCAGTTGTTAATGCAGGATTGGTGTTAGATGAATCGGTGAAAAGCTTATTTGAATTCTGGAAACCAGCCATAAATGAAAAGTTGTCGCGTATAATGTCTATGTAAGCGTCTGTATGTACCGCCAATCTGTTCTGTTTGAATTTTATATTTTTCAGCAACCAGCCGGACAGGAGCAAGGACTGTTGCAGTTGATGGTATTCAGAAGAATTTGGTTGGTCGGACTTGTAGTTGAATTGTGGCGTGAGAAAATTGTATGTAATAGGATTGGTTGGAGTTTAAGGAAAAAAAATTTCTATATACGGAGGAAGGGATATAATAAGGGGGATATAGTTTCTGATATAGGTAAAGTGATGACTGTATAAATACCAAAGAAATAAGATCCGAAAATTTCTTCCAGGGGGCGACAAATATGGCCTAAATACACACCTATAATAAAAAAAAAAAAAAAAAAGGAATAAATAAAAATTGTTAACGGAAGTAGAACCGCGCGAGTGATAAACAATAACAATAACAATAACAACGATGATGAAGTGATGATGAGGTAATGAAATGAAGAGCCTGTTAATTAAAAGTGGATAATAACCGCGAAAAAAGAATGACTGTAAAAATGATTTCGATTTTTTTTTTTTTTGTTTGTGAGAGTTGTATATATATATATATATATAATGTATATATGTATATATATATAATGTATATGTATATATATATTGTTATTATTAAGTAAAAGAACGAAGTAGATGGATAAAAAAAAAAAAATCTTTTTTTTTTTTTTTTCTTGTTGAAAAAAAAAAAGAAATATATTTATAGAATCTTTATTATTTATAAATCTTATACATAATAAGGATTGTCGTGCAAAATTAATAAATAGGGCAACCAAAAACAGGTGATAAGAGTTAATAATATACGTACCGAAGATTATTAGTCCGAGTAAAAAGTCTGCCTGTTTGTTTTTTTGGGGTGCGTTACTTAAAAAAAAAAAGAGGTGTATCCCGTCCAAAACTCTTGTTTTTTTTTTTTTATAATGGTACTATTGTCCCTTTGTGTTTTTTATAAGTCAGTTTCGGTAGCGGAAAGGAGGTAGCCGACACGAGGAGAAAATCGTATTGGAAAAGGGGCGTAGAAACAAGGATTAGATAAATGTTGATGATTAAAGTATTTATTTATTATTCACGATTTCAGTTGTAAATGATGGTTTTTAATTCGGGCGTGTGAAGATTTTTTTTTAGATAGATAGAAGTGAAAAAATTCTATTGAATTTGTACAATACAAAAAAAAAAAAATATTTCAGGTTATTAGCAATGTTTCAGAATGCTCTCTTTTTTTTTTGTTTTTTTTCTTCGCTGTAATAGTTTCTATTATAGTTTCGAAATCTATTATTATTATTTAGTCTATGCGAACGGGGGAAAGAATATACAAGAAGGGAGAGGATGGAAAGAAAAAAAAAATAAAAGATTTAACGTGAATTGTCAAAAACAATTAAAGATTAAATCAAGAATTATTTCTGAAAGAATCTTTCTTTTGGCAGACAATAAAAAGTTTTTTTTTTGCCTGCGTTTTTATTATTTTTTGATTCGAAGACGATTCGATTGAAGATAGCCCGGGGAACGGGATGAACAACGCTATATATATATTTCAAAAAAAAAAAAAAAAAAAAAGAGAAAAAAAAGTATAATATATATTCACCCGTAATCTGTACGATAATATGCAATTAAGAGCAAAGAAAGGGATGGTCAGGAGTGGAAGAAAGGTGGTTTATATTAACGAACATGGTGTTGGGTCAGAAGCGTGACAGGTGATTTATTAATAGTATTAATAGAATTAATATTATATATAATAAAAAGGTAAACTAAAAATACTAAAATAAAAATAAAGGAAAGAAGGAAGTCGGTAAATATAAATTAAATAAAGTAGCGTTACAACAACGACATCAGCAGAATAGAGATAAACATCGAAAATATCATTTAAGATTGTTTGAGTAAGATAAATCTTATTGGTGCCGATACAGAGTCCCAGGACCAATTGAAACGAAAAAATTGATTACTCTATACAAAATATACACAATAAGTAATATAGTAAGTAATGTAGTAAGTAATATAGTAAATAATATAGTAATATAAGTAATATAGTAATATAATCGAATATAATCAAATATAATCGAGTAATATAGTTGAATAATATAGTAAGTATAATAAGAGAAATGATCAGTGTAAGGGAAAAAAAAGAAGAGGGCACACAAGTACAAGAAACCGAGCGACACAAACACAATTTTGAAAACAGATGCAAAAAAAATCATTTGACCTTTTTTGTCAAATTCCTGTTGCAAATTTATTATTCGTCTTGTGTTCACGCACCAGTATTAAATAAACTTTGCAAGTCAATCAGTTTATTTTATAAACTTAAAGAACGGCTAATAACTGTAATAACTGATAAATTATATCACATAATGGATCAGAAATATAAGTAATTTATTCTATCTGATTATTGGTTTTTTTATCACTAACGTAATATTAAAAAAAAAATAGATTTTAAAAAAAAATATATTATCAGATTATCCAAAGTAACAAAAGAAAATAACGAAATAAAATCGAGTCGATTTATAACAAGAGACTACGGAGACAAGACAAGAAGCTCGCATACACGCTAAAACAGAAGTATTCAGTATCAGTATGTACGTTGTTATGTACTGTAGATTGTTGAAGAAGAACGCACACTTAATGTACATTAATCGGTTTTAAAAAAAATTATAATATATTTACATATATGTTTGTATAAAAAGTATAATAGTATATAATATGTTGTAATATGTTTTTATAATATATTTATATAAGAAGGCAAAAAAAAAAAAAATTTCAAACTCGTCGTGGTGTTTATTGAATATCTAAAGAAAGCTGCATATCTATCGAGAATCTATTGTGGTTGCAGAAAAGTTGCATTTTGTTGCGTAATATAAACACATATAAACATTTATATCTACTGTAATATACAGAATTATACAGAAATACAACCTGACCAAACTCGAAATGGTATGCGCTATATGTCTACAATTGTTTGAACGAACAAAAAGGTTAAGAGACACGAGTCATCCGTTCTGTTCGTAATTATTATAACTACAATTATTAAAGATAATAAAAGAGTATTTAAAAGATATTATTAAAAAAAAGATATTATTAAAAGGTATTATTTATTAAAAGACATTATTTATTAAAAGACATTATTTATTAAAAGACATTATTTATTAAGACATTATTTATTAAAAGACATTATTTATTAAAAGATATTATTAAAAGATATTAAAAAGATGATAAAAGATAATAGGGATTACCCTGAAGATGAATTGTTTGGGTTGATATTCGGAGATTGAACACCCCCTATATACTATTTGTGGATTTCTAAACGAAACATCATTCCAAACTAATATAAGAAATCTCGGTGATTTGGTGACTTGACAATGACGAATCAAAATACATTGTCTCTAAAATGGCAAATATGTTATTATATGTCATTAATATGTCATTGAAATCTTCTTTTTTTATTTCTTTATTTATTTTTCCAATTTCTTTTATTTCCTTTATTTTTCCAATTTCTTTTATTTCCTTTATTTTTCCAATTTCTTTTACTTCTCTTGTTTTGTTTCTTTTATCTATATTTTTTTGATAATTTTTTTTTTTTTTTAATAATTTTTAATTTTAATTTTTTTTATTTTTTATCGAATATTCTATTTAATCTATTCGCCGAATTTCTTATCCGCCAAATAGTAAATCTAATTATTTAGATGGTTAGAAATTCTCGTGAAAATGAACTAAATTGGTCGTCACGAGTGTGTCAATTGTGTGTTGAATATATATTGGTATATTGCAAATATTGGTTGCCGGGTGTTAATTATGTGTTGGGTGTTAGGGTGTATTAGATGTTTGGTTTCATTATTCAAATTATAGTTAGTTAGGAAAAGATTTTCGATGATTGTTATTATTTTAGGTTTAGTCATCTTTGTATAGTGAGGAAGAAAAATAGAGCGAAAGAATGTCCCATTGTGTTTAAATTGTGTTTACTACGGATATGTCTGTTGTAAATCCATCTGGTTAAAAAACAAGATTTTTTAGCCCATGTCAGTTTAAATCTTTATAACAGTTACATACGCATTACAGCCAGCCAAATGATGTATATCTGAATATCTGAATATGCAAGATCTTCTTTTGACCATCTCAATCAATACATTTATGGATGGATACATTTATGGATGAAGAGAGAATGAATAAAGATTCCCGTGTTCTATATGTACTATATGTATATATTATTATATTTATTAGTTGTGTTAGATGTACGAAATGTAATAATTCATATGCCAAGTACATCACCCATGCTCAATTATTCACTTAAAAATCTGGCAAGGAAAAAAAAAACAAAAAAAAAAATTTTTTTTTTTTTTTTACATGTATTAATATTATGACAAGACCCTGCTGCGAGTTCAATTTTAAAAACAGTAAATTATCATCGACTATCATCAATTAAGAAGGTGACAACCAAGATACTCATTACATTACTGATTTGTGCGTACATTTACCGCTTACATGCGTAATAAATTACCGTGTCGTACATCTTTTAACCCTATCCAATCAATCATTCTTAAATTCGAATCATGCGTAATAATAATGATATAATGTTAAAAGATACTACTACGTATGTTAAAAAGATTCTATGTTAAAATATTAACTATTATTAAATACTTTTTTTGGATGTTTTTTCTTTCTTTAGACTTTCTGTCTTTAGAGGATACTAATTGAAGAATAATATTATCAGATAATGAGATTTCAAAATATTGTTTCTTGATTGATATTCTCTTCGTTCAACGAATGATTATTTATTTTTATTTTTATTATTATTTTTGCGAATCATTTTGTAAATATATGCGCGTGTAATATAATAACTATTTCTATTTTTGTATTTCTATTACCACTACCGCAAGGACGATGTAATTTCCATTTGAGAGATTTAAGAGATTTAAGAGGTATACATATAAAATATATGTGAACGTATGTAAATTTATGTGTATAAATGCATATATGCATGTATACATACATTTTTAATTTGATAATTATTAGACTTGTTAATCGCATGATTTGATCTAATTCTCTTAATGTTCTTTTGTCTATCATTTAAATTTGATTTAATCATTAATTACATCTTTGGTCAAACTTTTACATCTTTGGTCAAACTCTACCTACATCTTTGGTCAAACTCTACATCTTTTGGTTAAACATTTGACATCATTGTGTCATTAATACGTTAAACACGTTAAACACGTTAATCACGTTAAAAAAAAAAAATTATATATGCTTCATAAATACCTAATAAGTGGCAAGTATGTAAGTAAATGTTTCGTCTCGTTTATAATTTCTTAAGTCATCAGGATTATCATAAAAAAATCCTTGATAACGATAGTACAACGAAAAAAAATATCTATTAATAACGATAATAATAATAATAATAATAATAATTATTTAATAATAATAATAATAATAATAATAATAATAATAATGTGATGGATGGAGTGACAAATTAATACCAATCAAGTGACAAAACTTGTATTTATGAAAAACAATTTGTGTCCAGCATAAATTCATTACCCAAAATTATAAAAAATGATATCATTGCATATACACATTTATAGTCACATACATTATTATTTATCAAAGCAATCAAGCAGCTTTTTGTGATTTAGTAAATAGTTTATAGCCGAAAATAGGTCGAATCAAAAAAAAAAATGCTGTTATTATGTGTGTTTTGATCAAGAGTCAAGTACGAGGGAAGATGAATTATCGATACATTGTCAAACTCAACTTTAAAACATCACATAAACAGTTTTTTTTTTCCTTTAATTCTTTATTTTACATTGCATACATTACATCAACAAAATAGTTACATATTATTACATATAATTACATGTATCATATAACATACACTTATACACACATATATATATATTATACATATAATGAAATTTATAAATGCGTTAAATAAAAAGTTCCTATTATTATTTTTTTTAATAATGTTTGACAAAAAAACAACTAATATAAAGATTTACAAAAATGACATATATATCGGAAGTTTTTTCCAATTCAGGTGCTAACCATTATTGGAAACATCTGTATATATTTTTTTTTATTAAGATACGCACTGGACACTTTATGAAACGTTAATAAAATGTTGATTAAAATGGTTGATTTATTGAGAAAAAAATAAATTAATGAAATAGATTAATAAGAATTTAGAAATGAATCACTTTTTTTTTAAATGATTTTATTTTTTTTCTTGGAAATTAAACTTGATTTCTTTTAGTACTCCTTTCGGTTTAACTAGTTAGTACATACGTACAAATGAATCTGTAAAGAACAAAAAAATAAATAAATAAAGAATACATTAATCAATAAATTAATAAATAAATTAATTCGTTTATCGTCATTACGCAAGTTAGCGCAAGGGTGTCCTGCATTATGCGGGGGTTAGCATAAATTAAAATTACATGTATATTTAAATTGCATATTGTTTATATTTTCTGCCTTGTTTTTTTCTTTCTTTTGCTAACATTTTGCCATTCTGCATGTATGCATTCTGCACCACTCATTCTTCGAGTCTCTCTTTCCTCAAAATGGACTAGACAGGAGGTAATCTTTACCAGAAATTATAAATGATCTAGTATTTTATTGGTGAAGCGTAAAATAAAAAAGTTTCAATGGTATTGGAATATAGATTGTTGATTATAATATAATATATATATATTATATATATATTATAAATCGGTTGAACTCGCTTGATATTGACTCGCTGATGATTCAAAAAATTAAAGTTCAAACATTTTTAATGTATTTGCTGCATATACTGTATTTATTGTATTTACTGCTGTATTTACTGTTGTATTTACTACTATATTTATTGTTGTATTTTCGTTGCATTTACAGTAATTATAATAATTACAGTAATTAGTTTATATTACATTATCGATATATTGTATACAGTATATTACATTATTATATTATAAATATTAGATAATGATATAATAATATTATAATAATATTATAATAATATTATAATAATATTATAATATTATTATATTGTATTATAAATCAATGAAAATTCTGGGCGGTTCCACTAGAAGATAGTAGAGATAGATATCGAGAGAGAAGAGGTAAAGAATAGGAAAAAGATAAGATACAAAGAAAAAACTGACTAATCAACTACATTAACTACATCAACTACATTGAGACTACTAGACATCAATAAGGAAAGGTTGATCAATTATATAACTACGCCTTGAACCGAACACCTGAATGAATAATACTATATTAGTATTTGTATAAGTATCAATTTATCGGGCGACGCCAAAAGTTCCCGAGTACATAAAAGAACGAATCAATAACAAAGCACGAGTAAGCAAGAAACGCAAGGGCCACGCGCAGAGTAAATGTATAATGTATGGCAATATGTGACCTTAAACGATACTAATACAGAATTGATGATTTTTACTCGTGTTATTAATTTTTTATATTAATTTTAATTAGTTAAATGCAAAAGAAGACTTGAAGGAAGTTCGAGAACCTTACGTCATGCGAATAAACTTTCTTATAAACATATAACATGATCATGTCAGACCTGTCATCTAAATTTTTGTAACAAGATAATTAACAATATTAACAATATATTAACATTATGTTAACAATATTGATGTGTACCTAGTAATTTAGCAATTGCATATTGATACATAAAAAGTTTTTTTTTTTTTTTAATTAGATTGGGTCGGAGTAGTTTTGATCAAATAACTGAATCAGGAAAATTTAAATGACCGGTGACAAATGGTTCGCGACTCGCGTAAATGTAGCACAGGGAGTCATATATCTAAAATAGGAATACTGAACTTGTACTATACTTTTGTATAATAGAATAGTTCACCAATGAATGATCTACTCGATTATTCGGTGGGAGAACAATCTTTGGCTAATCTAATTTTGGATTTAATGTCATATGTCATCGAAAAAAAATCGAAACAGTTCAAACAGGTTTTTTTTTTTTCCCTTTCTTTTTTTCGACCGGAAGATATTTCGGGTAAATAAGTATATATACTTAAAAAGTTCCAAATCTTTTCGATAACTAGTTTTTAACTAGTGATTATCAGATATCAGTAAAAAAAAAATACTAGACACAGGTGATCTATACGTATTAATAGTATTAATAATAAAGTTATTAATAAAGATATATTAAAAAAAAAATATTACGTATTAAAAATATTAATAAAGGTATTCGGATATCGTAAAGAAACACAAAGATCCAAGAACTCTTCTTGTTTTTTTTTAAAGAAAAAAGTTGATCAATACTATTTTGGGAAAACGTATTTAAATCATTGGTTAACTATATTCCTATTGGAGTATCTTCCTCCATGATTTGCCTGTGACAACCTGTAAATATAAACTTTATCTGAGACATCCAAACAAGAAGATTATTGGAGGTTACAAGGTTTACAAGGTGCGAAACTCGTCGTACTTAAACATTCAAGGAGTGACCACGTAAAGCATCATCGTCTCATCAACTGCACGTTAGTAAAGAAGACTAAAATGTTTCTTAAATCATTTTAAATTATTTTAAATTACCCAAATAGTAATTTTTACATTCATCGCATCGCATGTAAAATGTATAGGTGATAATCGATTTTTAATTTTAATCAAATGATTTTAAATTAGGTCATAAAAAAAATTTTTTTTTTTAGTATATTTGTTTTCTAGGAAAATTTCACCGAGTGTATATGTAATTTTATTGCACAGCGTAAATGTTTGATGATATGTTTGATGGGTATGCCGAAACTTTATCTTTTTACAGAATGACAGGTTATAAAACGTACAAATCTAAAATAAGTTTAGGGAGATTGTATACATTCACAAAGGTCATCAAAAAAAATAATAATCAAAATAATCCAAATAGTCAAAATAGTCAAAATGAATCAAAAATAAATCAAAAAAAATTCATTTGAATAATCAAAAATAATTTTTTTGCACCACCAGAATTTTATGGCGGTTCATTAACCAATCCTTTAAAGCAAAACGCTTTGACAAATATTATTCATTCATTGTATTATTCAAAAAAAAAATTTTGATTAAAATAATAATAATGACAAATTGATTAATATAAACAATCAAACGCCTTTCTTTTACTCTGTTCGTTCATTTGAAATTTCTTTTTTTTTTAGAAAAAAAAAAATTTCATGTTTATAATATTTTCATGTTTACTAATCGCATTCTAAAACCATTCAAGGGGTAGATCCTTTTTTAATTTCTGATATTAGTTCTGATAAACTTTTTATATAATCACATGATATAAACTTTTGACCAGAAACGAGTTGGTTATCTTTGTTACTGCATACTGATAAAAACTGATGTATGATTTGATAGATGCAGAATATAAATAAATATTATTGATTCATTTACTTTGTCATACAAACATCTTACCCGATATCAACATTTTCTCATACGTAAAAAAGTCGGAACCTATAAATGGAAGAAAGAAAGGAGGGTCATCTCAAGAATAATCTTTAGGAAATGATGGAATTCTTTCGTGGATATAACTACATTAGGTCATTACATCAGGTCAATATATTAGGTCATTACATTAGGTCATTACGTTAGGTCATTACACATTAGGTCGATGGCGGGAAGAATAGGAAAGGTGATACGATATATCTGATATGTAATTATAATATATGTAATTATAATATAAGTAATTGTAATTGTAATTATAATATATGTAATTATAATTATAATATATGTAATTGTAATTGTAATAGAATTGTTGTAAAAATAATTGTAAGAATAATTAAAGTAATAATAATTAATAACTATAATAATAACTGATATATAACTGTCGCACTGCTTGCAGTTCATAGTAAATTGTCCGTAATATTTGTTATATTTATATTTCGGATGCAAGATAACTGAGATGGTAAGCTTATACAATAAAAAGAATATGTAAAGCGCCCACGATCCTTTGCCGCGATCCGATAGACATTACCGCAGGAGTACTGCAGAATTTTATTCAAATTGGAGACAAACAAATAATAATCAAGGTGTAAACAGAACGGTACAGTAAATAAATGAACCAAATAATCGACGTAGCATTTGCTCACATACATTATTCTGTTTATTTTTGACTGCCGCTTTGCTTGGTAACAACCAGTAGTACGCTTCAACGAATGTGTATATCAAATAGCGCATAAGCACGTACGTACGTATAATTTTAATTACCCCTTATTTTTTTTTGTGATCCATAACCCCCATTATCATTTTATCCATAATCGGATTTGATGTCTATGAGAACCAAACATTTCTTAAAACATTGCTTATTTATCAATAAACAGATCTTACTTTGGCATATTAAACACATATTAAACGCACTTTATCGACTAAGGTTAGCTAACCAGAAATCTGATAAAATTATAAAATTTTAATAATCACATAAAATGTACTTTGACCATCATTTTATTGGGATTATAGAGTATGTTTATCAGTGTGCTTATCAGTCTGTCTGCTTATCAGTTCGTTTATCAGTTCAGTTTGTGGTAATGTTTATTAACATGTTTTATTCAACATCAATATGTTTTATTATTACAGTATTATTATTACAGTATTATTATTACAGTATTATTATTATTATTATTATGTTTTTACGTACATAGTAACATAGTAATGTTTATTACTATATAGTAGGTTTGTTTACTACATAGTAGGTTTGTTAGTATGTTTATTTATAGTAAATATATTCTAGATTCATGTGTCAACAGTCAATATTTTAGTTAGTGTCAACATTCAGTGTCAGTCAATATTTTTTAGTTAATGTCAACATTCAGTGTCAGTCAACATTTTAGTTAGTGTCAACATTCAGTGTCAACATTCAGTGTCAGTCAACATTTTAATGTCAACATTTAGTGTCAGCATTTTAACATTTAAGTGTTAGTATTTTAGTGTCAGCATTTTAACATTTAAGTGTTAGTATTTTAGTGTCAACATTTTTTTTGTTTATACCACTCGGCAATTATCGAAAATTATCGGTAATGATTGATATCAATATTGATAATATTGATAAATTATCGGTAAATTATCGGTAATGATTGATAATATCAATATTGATAATATTGATAATTATAGATTGAATATATTTTGATACGTAAGTACATACTTAATCCTTAATTATCATAATCTCTCACTTGGGTATCTACCCCGAGCTATTAATATTTTTGTTTGTTTATACTAAACTCCTAAACATAATATACCCCCCTCTTTTTTTTTCTAGTTACATTCTCTCCTTTGTATCCTATAGTACTCTCATATCCTATAGTGTGTTATATCCGACCATAGGGGCTCATCTCAATGATTAAGAGTTTTAATTTGTTTATGGTCACACCGCCCCCTTAATGTTAAAATCGAGAATTGATGAACAACTTGACGGGTGATACCATTGGCGTTCCGTAATTGTGTTCACTTGTACAAAAAAAAAAAAAAAAGTTTGTAAGAAACTAACGTTAGAAATTAATCAGATTTTCGCTTATCACATTTGATTACGTACTCTGGTTCTCTTGCTTCTTTAATTCTCTGCCACACGGATGATCAATTACCCTATTTTCTCCAATCATATATATATCTTTTGTTTATTATCAATAAAGTGGTCAACAAATAAACAACTTACCGTTATAATTACACAAAAAAACTTTTTTTTCAAAACCACAGATTTTTTGTTTAGATGCTGTTTGATAAGATTTCATCATATATAAAACCGATTACTTTCATTGGGTAATAACGATAATAATAATAATATATCATAATAATATATCATAATAATATATCATAATAATATAATAATAATATAATATAATAATAATAAATAATAAATAATATAATAGTAGTAATAATAATAGTAATAATATAATAATAGTAATAATATAATAATAGTAATAATATAATAATAGTAATAATAATACATAATAATAATAAGTGTTACTATTACTATTATTACTATTCTTATAGACGTTGACTTATTTTATCGATGCCAATATACGTACGTACTACGTATTATTGTTTTATGATTGTTGTTTATTTTCTAAATTTCTATATTACAGTATTACATATATTGCACATACATTTATCTGTTATATAACATACATTTATTTGTTATATAACATACATTTATTTGTTATATAACATACATTTATTTGTTATAACATACATTTATTAGTTATAACATACATTTATTAGTTATAACATACATTTATTTGTTATAACATACATTTATTAGTTATAACATACATTTATTTGTTATAACATACATTTATTTGTTATAACATACATTTATAACTATAATATACATCTATAACATATATATAACATAGATTTATATCACATTTACAGCAATTATCCTAAGTATATTAGATATATATATTTGATAATATATATATATATATATATAATCTCCACATTTTAAATGCAAGTATATTATTATAAAATCCATTAAATATATTGTACATTGTGGGCGATACTACCGGGGATGCCACAACTTACAGCTTATTGCATGCGTGTACTACACTATTTTTTTAATACGTGAAACTTTTTTGTTGCATGAATGATTACGTTTATCATTTTTTATCGTTTATCATTTATCAATTTTATTCTTTTTTACTTTCGAATTTTTTAAATATAGATCGAAAGTGTATGAGGATATATAACAAGTGTTATAAAAGTATATAAAAGTGTATGAAAGTGTATGAAAGTGTATAAAAGTGTATGAAAGTGTATGAAAGTGTATAAAAGTATATAAAAGTATATAAAAGTGTATAAAAGTATATAAAAGTGTATAAAAGTAAGTAAAAGTATATATAAATATATAAATATAAAAGTATATAAAAGTATATAAACACCTAACGCTAGTCAGACTAATTTGGACAATATAATGTAAGGGTTAGGAGCCTGAATGCATACTGGCACACCAGCATATGATACGACACCCTATCAAGGAACTTTATCAGCAAATAATTTGATATTTTTCACGAGGTTCAGGGTTTGGAATTATTTGATCAGGGTTTTGAACAGGTTTTATGTATTTTCTACAAAAAAGAATTATCCATAATCTTATTCGCGAATCAAAATTCTTAATTGATCCGATAAGAATAATACACGTCCTAATTAGTTAATATCATAAACGAAAAGATCACGCGATAAATTAAACAAAAAAAAAAAAATTCAAATACGGATTTATTAGATTAAAGAAAGGAAACTATGCGTATGTCGAGACTAAATGATTTGATAAAAGATATCAGATCATTTTTGTCTTTTGTCTAAAAGAAAGTTTAAGGATATATAGCAATTGGTGTAACTTGCTTTTTTTTCACTATCGTTCTAATGTTCATTATTAGAGTATGCGTATTCTATGATTCTTTGTAATCTCTTTGTGTCTTTTTACTTTTTAATCTTTGTCTTTTTAATTTTTGTAATTGTAATTATTGTAACCTTGTAATATATGCGTACTCCATTCTATTCTCCTTTTGTAGTTAAAATCTTTTATAATTTTTATAATATCTATATCTTCGTAAATATCT